TAATTCTATAAGCACCAGAAAAAAAGTTGAATGATACGAGTAACTTGCACAATAGTTCAAATTCATGCTCTTGCCACGGTTACGTTTTCCTTGCAGTCCAAATGCAGCTCTGCATACACTGCAGTACACTTTGAAGCTTGCTCCCTCTCCTTCTTCAATTTTGATAGATGAATTCTGGCTAATAGTGATCAAAGATGTTGAAGACTTGAGAATGGCCACGTTTTTGACTGTCATCAAGTAAGTCTCTGAGTTTAAACTCTAACTCTGTGAAATGTGAGAAACAGGAATGATGAGTTGCTGCGCGACACTTTTACAGCTGCTATAAATCATCTGCAAATTGTCTTTTCAAACAGCAACATATTTTGTTTCAGTCTGGCTCATTTTACATATTCCTATGGCCTTTTCCTAATTTCTTTATAGAAAAATAAGATGAAATGGCTTATATTTACTTGCAATTGAAAATTGCCTCTTATGTGAATTGAATATTTTTTTTCTAAGCTAAGTGTTGTTACTCATCATGCTAATGTTGAGGTTTGTTTCTATTTTCATTATTTTGATATGGTAAACACTCCAATGGGCCTGAATTTTTAGAGTAGATGAAGGAGTAATTTCGTCAAAAGTTGATTGTGTGCGCTGCAGTTCCTCAAGTAAGGTCTGAACCTCCAGCATCTTGCAGGACAACTCTATCAACTCTACCAACCACATAGACATTTCAGATTTTAGAATCTTCAAAGCTACAGGACTAAACTGGTGTATAGACATCTTCAAGAGAATTCTGAACAATACTGTAAAGCTCAAAGAGTCACCTTTACATTAACAGTTCCATCCACGGTTCAATCGCCGCGACAGACAGAATCCCCATACTGGCCACTAAAAATATATGTAGCGGGAAACTGCTACACCTAAACACTTAGAGGTCTCTGCCAGCGGGCCCTGCGGTTCATGGAAGGTTGAAAAGATTAAGGACGAAGTCAGGTGAATATTTACTCAAGAGATTTGCATAAATTACTTGAAAACGCTAAATACAATAACGCTTCAAAGGTACATTTGACAAAAATTGTTATGGACACAACAATGGGTATGAAGAAGTGGCTCTCTACTAGAGACAGACTACATCCAACGACAGTTAGTTTAGCACATTTTTCTCGGCAGTCACCTGTCGAGTAGTGTGGCGGCTTCAAATCTAGTACACAAAGCGGGACTAATATCTGGCCCGCTACAGCGGTAGCGATATTTAAGTAGCGATACGAGGTTTTGCTGCTACAGCGCTTCTGCTACATTTATAGATGAAGCCTTTTGATTTTACCTAATAGTATTTTAATTAATTTAATTTACCTTATTCAAAAACCAGCATGATACATACCGGTACTGTAAAATGGGGTAACTTTGACCACTTTTTTTTCAAAATGCCATTTTTTTTACTAGATAAGTTAAACTTAATTTGAAACGTGCAAAATACAGGTCTATACTCTAGCTTTACTCACCATAAATTGCTGGCTCCTGAAAAGAAATTTTTACCTAATGCAGGGTTGGCAATGATTAAATCAAAATGATTAAATCATGTGATTAAATCACTTGATTTTTTTATAAAAAATCATGATTTTTTTGATTTTTTTGATTTTTTTGATTTTTTTGATTTTTCATATATTTAAAAGTATTGAGTGGCAGTCTTTAATTTATATTGAGGTATTGTTATTCATGGTTTAGTATAAATGTACTATGAATGACAAATGGGTATATAAACTTGTTGCCTTTAGTGTGGATTAGGTTCCAATAAATGGAATGTTTTTGGTACAGAGGCATCAATTGTGCAATACATTGTGCGTAGCTAGCAGCTTAGCTAATTCTTATAAGGCTACAAGTAGTCTAACTATTTGACTATTTGTTATACATTGATTACAATATACAATTTAAATGTGTTAGCTAGCTTATACAGGGTGGGGCAGAACTGATTGAACAGTTTTGAGGTGAAATAAAAGAGTAATGTTGGTAGATTTATAGGACATAAAACTAGTAGATCTATTGATAGTGCTGTGCACTGTGCTATCAGCTACCTATCTGTTATGTGACTCTTCAATGTTTAGGAGATCTGCATTCCTGATGTGTTTTTGTATATTGAAGCCAGTTAACACGTTGACTACGATTGCTTCATCTTGTACTTTTGTTTCATTTTTCTAGTACTATTATGGAACAGGGTTGCCAGACTTTCTTTTTTTACCGGACAAATTCCGTGATTTAGTTTTTTCAATTTAGGTGGTCGGCTAAAATTTATGATAGGGGTTGTAAGGAGCGCTTCCTAATTAAATAAAAAAATTGAATTTTTACACCGGAACCTACAAATATACTAGTATATATTGAGTTATAGGCCTTTTTGTTCACGGACTTAATTGGCCGTTTTTTAGGCCATCTGGCAACCCTGAATTATGTACCAGGAGAAATACATTTCGTGGTACGCATATGTACCAATACGTAGTCAACGTGTTAAATGGTGAATATTTAGCTCATTACATTGCTCCATACAAACTTTACTAAGCTAATGATTAGACTTATCAATAATTGTTTACCCAAAAATCCCTAAGTGGTAAACACCACCTTGGCCTGTTGGCCATTATTGAAGGCAATAAGGACCCTTTTTAGCCATCCATTATGATCCATATACTGTTATTGTTAGTAGGCTAATTGCAACATAAAAAATAACACCTCAAAAAAGACAAAAAAGCTGAAAAAATAAAAAAAATCAAATAAATAAAAAAATCATGAAAAAATAAAAAAAATCGTTGATTTTTGATTTTTTTGATTTTTTTAAAAAAATAAAAAAAATAGACAACCCTGACCTAATGTGTGCTTGGAAGGATCCTGAGCAACCAGTGGATGGTATTAAGTACCTATTCCTTCTTTGTGCACCCATTTTATATCTTTGTGTGCATAAAATGAGGGACTGCAGATTATCTCACTCAAATTGTGCATCTACCTTCCCTGTAGCTTAATAAGCCCACTTTTTGTTTCTTATCCCATTTATGCCTGGCGTCCTACATGTAGGTCAGCTAACCATCAAAAGTTTTTCGTTGCTTACAGATAATAGATAACTAAAATATGAATTGTTGCCAATTGCATGTTATTCAGTACTCTTTCCCAAAACTAGTTTTGGTGGCAGATTAGAGATTGCACACGGAGGTTGTCACACAGGAGCGCTCAAGTAGTGTTCATTTATTAGTTCACCTGAAAAAGCATGGCGTCACCAAAAAAGTAAGTTATGCCAAATGTAGGAATAACTGTTTTGTGTCGTGAGGTGCATATTCTTTTAGTATAATAGCCTGTTATTAGATAGAGAATAGAGATATATCAAAATATTCAACACGTGAGGCATGAGGTAATACTAAACAATGGTGTCCTACATGTAGGTCGCTAGGCATTGAACGAACCTAGTTGTCACAGGAAGCTTCGTTCAGTACATCCATTTATTGAAGAAACCTTCTGATTTTTTTTGCTTTATATCGTAATGTACATATTTTTTCATGCATATTGATGTATAGATGTACTATTTGGAATCATTGTTTAGTTGCAGAAGGCCATTCATGGGTACATTGTGGAATTTTGTTTTGTCAGATAATTGGCTTGTATCTAAAATGTCTAAATGTTGCACTCTCAACACACTGCCGAATTTAGACTAATTCAGACTTTAGTTCATAAACTCATAATGTCTCTGTTTTGAAGTTATTCACTAAGAGTTAAATCTTACAATGTTACAATAAGACTTACAACTAGTGCGAGTCTTATATCAGCCTTGAAAGAGATGGGACTGAAAGGAACTGGCACAGTCAGAGAAAATAGAACCAAGAAGTGTCCTCTCATTGATGTCAAAGAGATAAATAAAAAACCACTAGGCTTCCATGATTTCAGAGTCGACGAAAAATACAATATCATAATCTGTCGATGGAATGACAACAGTGTGGTATCTCTATGTTCAAATGCTGTTGGAATTTACCCCCAAACCCAGACGACGTGCTTTTCAAGGCAGACAAAACAACGGATCCAAGTAGAGCAGCCAGCAATTGTAAAATTCTACAAGTCAATGGGTGGTGTAGATAGAATGGATGAGAACATATCGAAGTACAGAGTGTCAATAAGAGGTAAAAAATGGTACTTGTGTATTGTGTCATATCTCATCTATGTTTCTATGAACAACGCGTGGCTTCTTCATAGAAGGAATAAAGATGCTGAGAAGCTCGATCTGCTAGCATTTCGTAGACGAGTTTTGTCTTATTATTTTGAACACTACGCAAAACCTCCACAGCCAGGTTGCAAAGGCCATCCTGCTGATATTGGAACAAAGCAACAGTTGGACAACGTCAATCATTTTGTCATTCCTCAAGACAAGCAGATGCGTGTGCACACTCACCAGAAGACTACAACTAGGTGTGAAAAGTGTGATAAAGGATTACACGTCAAGCGCTTCAAAAACTTCCACAAAAAGTAGATGTACTGCAGAGTCTTTCTGTTGTAGAGCTTAATCAATTTTATGCCATTTTTGTTCCGTAATGCCTGGCGTCCTATATGTAGGACACCTTATATTTTATTATTTCCAACTGATTTTATTGAATAAACTGGATAAATTACTTAGTTGTGTCTCAATGAAGCCATTTTATCAGGTTTTTCCTTGTTCAAGCTTTTTTTCTTACCTTCGGCATAAATGGGTTATTGGGCCTGACTCCAGTTATTTCACATCATAAGAGACTGTTGATTACCTTAGTAATGCAAATATCTGTGAAGATAAGATTTAATCTCTTGGATAGAAGTTGAGGAATGTTGACCTAAACTGTCATTGCTGAGTCTAGGAGAACAACAGGAGTTGGCTTGTTTCTAGAAGCCAAATCATGTTTGCTTTTTTGCCACCAACCCATAAATAACAAGAAACATTTTTTTATTTTGATAAAATAAAGAAGTTTATTTAACTTGTATAATTGTATTTTATCACTGTAATAACAACCTTTCTGTTTCAGAATCAAGTATGGGCAGCTTATCAATTTTCATAATTGAAAATGAAGTAAAAAGCGATCTTGATAATTTATTTTTAAGGCAGGACTCTGCCCAATGGCACGATTTTTATGATGAGTGTTATAAACACCTTATGGTGGCAAGAGAGAGAAAGTTTAAAATTTCTTTTGAAGGAGCTTTAACCCTGATTCCACTATACTACAATCAGGTCAGCTCTTCTGATGATGAGTAAGTCACATATAAGACCTAACAGTATATAGTACTGTATGGCTGCTATTATATTTTTGGTCCCATGCATGAGTGTAGCATATTAATTTTTTAACTATGACGTGTATTTTTTGAGCCATGAATGAATATCTCAAGCCTCCACAATATTTCCTAAGTTAATTTTTTACTTATAAACTTGTAAGACAAGTTAAATAGGTATAGGTACCTATAAGCATAGATGAAAACTATGGAAGAGAAACATATACACATGATATCAGATAAAAATACTTGGAACATTCCCATATCTCCATAGTGGCAGACATACGCGTCAAATTAGGAACACACTAGCTTGATCAATTGCATTTATGGAACTGACATGTTAAAAAAACTCTTTAATTTGGCTAATAATGGAAGCCTACCTATTATAAAATAATATTATTATCATTATGACTATCCTCTAACTTACTCTTCAGTCATATTTGACACATTAAATGACAGAAAAGAAAAAAGAAATGGACCACCAGATATCTCCTTCATACAAAATTTCATTTTGTCATTTTTCTGAATTTGTCTGAATTTTTGAGAGACTTCTGTGATTTTGTGAACATTGTGAAATGAATAAACTTTTATTGTGGTGTCTTGTAGGTAATGATTTATTATTTTAGCCCTGCATAGAATTTATCATTGATATAAATTTGGAATATGAACAAGATATTCCTCAAAATTACACGTGAAAACAATTGTTTCATGGTTTTTCAGAATTTTGCCTGCAAATGTGTCATTATAAATAATTTATATATCAGAAATTAGGCAAGGGCCATAGTCACATTTGAAATAAAAGTCAATCCAAAGTTCTGCTTAACCCAACCCCAGACTGATTGAAAAATTTAATTATTTGTAAATTTTGTAGCCGAGGCACCCCAAATGAAGGTTTGAGCTCTATAGAGTTTACATATTTATTTGAAACTTTGATCCTATAGGTATATCTGCTTCAATAAATTTGAAACTGTTTTTTTTTATCACATTGGCTTTACTCATATTGGAGTTCTATGGGTAATGCTCAATATAGGTATTCATTACCATCCCTAATAAATTACAAGTGGTGAGCAACAAGTTGATAAGAATAACCTCAAATATGATTGCACTTATTCAACATCTTTGGAGAAAGATGAAGTTAACTTCAAAGAGAAAGCTAAGGCATATAGGTAGTAAGGTTTGGAAATATTTATTTAGCAATGTTTTTGTTTCTTAAGAAATTATGAATATTGGTGACAATGTTACAGAATGTTTGGTTTTCAAAATTTGCTGTTGAACCTTTAACTTTTGTACCTAATCTTTTTCTCTATTATCCATAGATCTTTTAAAGATATTTATCCAATTTTTGCTTTTTCAACTATCATGTTGAAAAAATGTATAAGTTAATTTGATAACAGAACAGAACATTGGCAACCTAACTGCATATTAATAAAGTTAGTGTTGGGGACAATTTTGAAAAGCTGACAGTTTTCTTATAGTCATGATTTGATATGTACTATGATAGTGTTTTTTTTTCTAGTGAGACCCATAGGTGTATGAATTTTCACTATCAATATCCTTAGAACCATGTTGAAACCTAGGTATGTCTGAAATCTTCACTTATTTGAATACTAACTTGTGTGGATGCATAATATTTACATACATAACCAATTCAAGCTTCAAGTGCACAGAAACATGTTGGTAGATATTTTTCTATCATGTATCAAACACAATAGAAATTCCTTTGTAATGAAGGTAGGAAATGTTTTAATTTGAAAATGTTGCAAAATGATCATGATTTTTTTTCACATTTTATTTGTACTTCTTTCATAATACTACACATACCTATATCTACAGTTATTTGTGTTAGGTATACTAATTGTTGGTGTAAAATATGCTCTATGTTCAAAAAACATGTTTAGAGAAAGGCCCAAAATTTATATTCAATCCTTAAAAATTCTGATTTCCAGATATTATTTATACCGTATCTCAGATTTTACATTTCATTCAAATTATCCAAGTATCCAGGTTGATTATCAGTTGATATATAAGCCAGATGTTTGGAATCTATTGCATTATTTCTGTGACCATGTTATTCCTCAATGACAACATGTATGTATTACAGTGATCTGCTGCTGAAAGGAGTGCATGTTCTCGACCAAATCTTGACATTGTGCGATGAGCGACATCATGAAGAGTGTCCAGACTGGCATCAAATTCTTGTGAAATCATCAGTCTTCAAAGAGTGTATTCTTGCAGCCGTCAACAACAGTGACTGTCATCTTCAGCTTTTTGGGGTCACTCAAGTGAGTGGTTCTCTTTTAGTTTTAAATTGATTTGGCTCCCAGTAATTGTTTTCTTGACTTTTGTTAGTTCTGCATTATTTATGTGTACTTTTGTTCATGAGTTACTTGTGGCTCATGCATTTTACTTTAAAAATTATCTACCATTTTGGATGGCTGGATTGTTTAATTGATCAATTTTGTCAAGTATTAAATGACAGCAAATCTGTCATGTTTCAGGTTCTTACATTTATGAAATCTGATGCTCATTGTTTACTGATATCATAATGACAGCAAATTTTTCAGGTTCTTCCATGTCTAAAATTAGATGATCATTATTCATTGATATTATAATGACAGCAAATTTGTAATGTTTCAGGTTCTTACATGTCTAAAATTAGATGAGCATTATTTAGTGATATCACAATGACAGCAAATTTTTAATGTTTCAGGTTCTTACATGTCTAAAATTAGATGAGCATTATTTAGTGATATCACAATGACAGCAAATTTTTAATGTTTCAGGTTCTTACATGTCTAAAATTAGATGAGCATTATTTAGTGATATCACAATGACAGCAAATTTTTAATGTTTCAGGTTCTTACATGTCTAAAATCAAATGCCCGTGATTTACTGACATCTCAAGACGATGTTGTGCGTGGCCTGATTAAGAGCCTTGGTGGAGGTGTGAGCTCGGTGAGCACCACGGCCAAGACAGCTCTTGTGTTGCTGTGTGAGCAGGAGCAGGGCCTGGCTGCCTTATTCTCAGACTCTGCTGCTCTGGATGCTCTCAATACTGTCATGGCAGTCAATGATTCATCCAAGTTCAATGTTTATGAGGTATTATTTTATTGCTATGGTATTGTGTTGACCATTCCATACATAATGATCGTAGGCCATGACAAAATATATTCACTGAACATGTTTCCAGGCTTTTACTCTAAATAATGATATTAGTTTTCAATTTGCGTAGTTATTGGTGGCCTGTTTTGTCTTATGGTTTTGATCTGATTGCTATATTGCCTTTCTATTTATTAGTTTAAGTGCAACGAAAAACTTTGTCTGCAAGCTTATGGTTGTTTAATACTGTAATAAGAAAAATATATAATTTTTTGTCAGGTGGTACAACGGGTGTGTGTGCTGGGCAGTGACCAACTGTCAATGGTGAGCAACAGTGGTCTGCTGGACCAGCTGGTTGCTGAGGTGTCCAGCTCTGACACGCTCTCTCAGCTGGCTGCCCTCCAGCTGCTGTCAGAGTTGATGGAGAGCGAGAAGGCGCTGGATCACATCAAGTCTGCTGGTGTGTTGCACCAGCTGCAGACAGCTTTACTGCAGGCACACTCGTCTCAAGACTCTCTTGCTGCTATGAACATTCCTGGTCAGTACAAATCACCAATAAAAGGCATTATTTTCCTATTGTATTGTTGGCCCGAGTAGTGCGCGATCTAGCCATGGAAGGCTTGGCTGTTGCTTCAGACAGCTCGATATTGTTTTTCTGTGTGTTAAATATCACTAACTAAATAACTGAACAACTTACAATGGCTGATTCAAATATTATCTATTGCTGCTCATACTGAAAATGATACCATGTCACTGAGGAACACAGCATTAAACACTTAATGTTATCTCATTTGTACAGGGCTGCTGAAGGTGTTCGGTTTGGTGGGCAGTGCTAAGTCTTACACATTACATACTTAATTTGATCTCATTTGTACTGGGCTGCTGAAGGTGTTTGGGGTGGTGGGCAGAATCAAGTCTTACACATTACGTACTTAATTTGATCCCATTTGTACAGGGCTGCTGAATGTGTTTGGGGTGGTAGGCAGAATCGAGTCTTACACATTACACACTTAATTTGATCTCATTTGTACAGGGCTGCTGAAGGTGTTTGGGGTGGTGGGCAGTGCTAAGTCTTACACATTACATACTTAATTTGATCTCATTTGTACAGGGCTGCTGAAGGTGTTCGGGGTGGTAGGCAGAACCCGTCCTGAACTGGTGTGCAGGGAACACAGCGCTGTAGTGTCGCTGATGCTGCAGCTGAGCAGCGACTCCTCCAGCGACCCTTGCCTCTCCATCATTGCTCTGGACACATTAGTCCAGCTCGCCAACACCTCCAACGCCAAGAAACTCCTGCACTATAACTTCCGTTTGTTTTACGCACTGGCTATCATGCACAATTGAGTATATATATTAAATAGTAAAAATCAGGTACAAGTTAATTTTTCCTGGGATTTGTGCCTTTAATCGATATTTCTTTCTCTCACTGTTTCAACTCCAGATTTAGTATTCATAAGAAAGGGCTTTTTTTCTAAAGATTTTTTTCTAATTTTACGATTGTTCTCTCTATTTTATTTAAAGAAATTTAGAATTTGTCTCACTGTGGGCGCGATGCGATTTAAAATGTATTTATCGCGCCTTCCTAGTTTAATTTCTACAACACTTCTCTTTAACTTCACTTCTTGTTTGTTAGTTTGTCTGCTACAAAGCTTATAATAGATATTTAACATACTTCTAGCTGTTCAATCGATCTGAAATTTTTTTGACGCTTGTGTACAGTTGGAGACAATGCTTTAATCAATTGACATAAAAATTATTTTATTAAGTAAAAATTTTAAAAAATTGGAAAAATCATTTTTTTAATATTTAACAATAAAATAAGAAATTCATTGTAAATGTGTAACATCGGAGACAGTAGAGCCCCTTTGGAAATGGTGTCTTCGAAAAGTAATTTTTAAACGCATATTATTTATATTTAGATTTGAAAAATAAATTTAGGGTTGGCTGTCTCTGCTTGAAAATACGACTCTTGATTGACGATTGCAACTCTTGCTTAACGATTACTATTCTTGACGATTGCAACTCTTTGAATATACATTATCCAGTTTTTGTCTGAAGCAGGCAGTGAAGTTGATGAATGGCTGAAGACGCTGGGGCGGCAGCTCCAGACGGCGCCCATGGAGCAGCGAGCTCGCCGCCTCTCTGCCCTTGTGCTGCTCTTCAGCGTCCCTGCCTTGCCTGTAATTCTTTTTTTTGCTAATTATTTATATAATCAAGTCACATGGAGTCTATTTTATGTGAGAGTTTGAATAAATTATAAGAGTGGATTTTTATAACAATTATATTTCCTATTCTTTCAACGAGTCGAAGGATATTTTTCACTGGCGTTGGCTATTTAAAATTTATTCAATTCTTTGCCTGGTCTTTAACCAAACCTGTTCTAAAGAACCACGTATTTAATACAACCAATATTGGCACTCTTTTATGTGTGTACGAGTGTCTACACATACGTCTGTTGTTGTGTGCAACACTCGTAGATAAACCAGCCATTATCATTGTACTCTCGTACAATGACCACCTACCGGTACTTATTTTTTGCTGATATATCAGTTAGGGAAATAGTTGCTATTACTGTACGTACTCCCTCATATCTTGGTACTGTCACTATCATCCTACCAACTGATATTCCTAGGACAGTTATTACAATTTCTGAATTAATTTCGAAAATATGCTTGTATTTTTCAATTGGATTAAATTTTGGGCCAAATTCTAAAATCTGAAAATATATGTGTGTTATTCCAATCTACTTTAATGATAATTCAATTTTAAGATTGTAGAAAGAAAACTGAATGGTATTATCAGAGAAGTGTCAACATAAATGAAGATTTATGTTCCAAAACTATCTAGGTTTTTTTAGACATCAAGCAAAAGTACATGAGAAATAATAATAAATGGTGTGTTATCATGGTAAGAGTTTAGTATGATGAATGGCGTAAACCTCTGCAGTTGGAACATTTAGGCGGAATTTCCCATACAAGTTTCATGAGTCAAATGAATCTAAATTTCTATGGAAGCTAATTGATAACATCTCTTTCAGAATGACTGGGTTAATTTTTTGTTATGTGTCACAGAACGACTGGGTTTCTTTTGTTATGTGTCACAGAACGACTGGGTTTCTTTTGTTATGTGTCACAGAACGACTGGGTTTCTTTTGTTATGTGTCACAGAAAGACTGGGTTTCTTTTGTTATGTGTCACAGAAAGACTGGGTTTCATTTAAAAATTCGCACAATTGACCACAACAATTATCCAGCAGGACGACCGCGTAGAGAGCGACGACCTGCAGGAGCTGCTGCAGGGCTGGTACAACTTAGTGTTCCCGTGCGGCACCCTGGAGCCCGTGGACAAGTTCATGCGGTTGCCCTTCCCAGAGATGCATCTCGAGGCCTACCACCTCCTGCGTGCCCTCATCAGGCTGCCTTGGGGCGCTAAAATGGTCGCGGCTAATACCGGTATTAGTTCTCCGCTTTTTTGTTAAACTTATTTATTTACATATTCTTTAACTTTAATAAATTTATTCCAACTAATTGCAGTCTGAATTCGTTGCTGAAATACCTATCCAATGTAAATTAAGGTTCCTGCCTCACTTTAAGTATAGGATAAACTATGCTGAACCTACAACCTATCGTTACTTATGAACAGTTTATATCGGCGAGCATTCCTGATGTGAGATTCTGTCTGATTCAGTGATGCTGTGCACAACACTGCAGCACCTAACTGCACTGCAGCTACACTGATGCACTTGTCTCTGCACTGCAGCTACACTGATGCACTTGTCTCTGCTGTACAGCTACACTGATGCACTTGTCTCTGCTGTTACTTATCTCTGCTGTGCAGCTACACTGATGCACTTATCTCTGCTGTGCAGCTACACTGATGCACTTATCTCTGCTGTGCAGCTACACTGAAGTACCTGTTGGACCGGTCCACTGAGAGCTGCAAGGAAGGCAAGGAGCTCAAGTACGCCGTGGCGAAGGCTCTTCTCTGCAACCCTGAAGTCCTGAGCGAGGAGGCAGGCAAGCAGGCCTATGATGCCTTCAAAGCCTACGTCAAAAATGGACCTTTCTACGTCGAGCCTTACGTAGAGCTCGGTGTAGGCCACCTGCACGGCTGAGCGATCCGCCACGAATTCCCGCTCAGTATTCAGAACACCTTTGGATTAATGAGGATCAAGTTCTGGGTTAACTTGGATATTTATTTTCTTTATGTTCATAGTTGCATATGAGGAAAAGTGAGAATTCCTCTAATTGGTTAAATTTAGGATTCATTATGGCTGAGTTAGAAGTGATCTCATCTCTTTATGTATGTTGAATTATTCAAATTTCATATGTCAGTTTCGTGTTACTTTTATATGGTTTAAGTTTATTGTCTTGCGAATTGATCATTTTCTCTATTTGACTAACTTTGAGGATCTGGTTTAAATATTACTGCATCATCATTCTCTTGGTTGTTTACGATGCTTGATGGGTTTTTACTTACTTATGAAAGGAATAAAGTATTTACAGCACAATCTCTTGAGTGAAGAAAAGCATCAATCTATATAGAGAAGCAATTTAAACAGTGTTTCAGGAACCAAGATCCCGAAAATTTTGTTTATGGCTGTGTTTTCTTCAATAAAAAGAAAGCAGTGGATGCTTCGTGAGTTTATTTTTCAGTCTGTCAATACTTGGCACGATTTTTTTCATTTTAGAAATAGGCTAAATTTGAGTTTCAAAATTAGTTTTTGATTATCCTCGATACTTAAATTGATTACTATCACATTCCGATGGTTGCTTTATCCTCGTTAATAGCTACCCTCTGGGGGATGCCGTCTTGTGAGCGATTTATTCACTTCCAGGCTGAATCATGTTTTATAATTAATAGTTAACTCACAATTATGCATCAATTCATATAGAAAATATGAAATAGTAATAATAAACCTTCTACTCAAGTGATCTGGAGTGACTAAAGCCTCCTCGCGACGGCGTCTAAGGGATGGCACTCCCTGGGGCCCCTAAGCTTTCTTTAGACCGTCTGAGCTCGGACCTTCCTTTCAGTTCGGCTCTAGCCCATCAAGTTCGGTCCTAGCCCATCAAGTTCGGTCCTAGCTCATCAAGTTCGGTCCTAGCTCATCAAGTTCGGTCCTAGCCCATCAATTTCGGGCCTAGCGCATCAGATGGTTTCTAGCTCATCAAATGGTTCCTACCCCATCAAGTTCGGTCCTAGCCAATCAAATGATTGCTAGCCCATGAAATGGTTTATTGAATTTTACAGGGCAAATGAACAGTCATTTAGGTGCCCGCTATCGGGCGTGCAGATGTTTAGTCTTGGTGCGAGCGCTGCACCACGCATCTCCCTCGGTCTCGTCACGACCGCCGTTTAGTTCTAGCGCAAGCAAGTCCCTCAACTTCTCCACTTTGAATAAAATACAAAAAATATACAAAGTACCAAGTGCTGCCAAACTTCTGTGCTCGGCTCTGCTTGACGGGAATTTTTCACAGAACAGAGTGTGGTACCGCAGGCCTCCTCCATCTTCAGAACACAAGAGGTATGGTGATCAATTTTCAATGTGGTTGGAATATTACTTGGAGAAGCGGGATTATGGAGTTTGTAAGAGTAACGTAAGAGACATTTACTTAAGGCATGAGGTGTTAGCAAACCTGCAGTTTCAAGTAATTATTCGTAATTAAAGTTTGAATAATACCGTAAGTTAAGTTGTGTTTCTTGATGGTTAAGTGTTTCATTGGAAGTTAAAATATCTCGAATCAAGTAAAAGCTTCGGTTAATGTATTCCATCATAATGGCTGCTTATATTTGAAGCATTTTTCTAACGAACTATGTAGTCCATTTTCCTATCCAAGAAAAATATGTATTGTTCATTTTTTATTATTTTTGCGATTTGTGAGTGCAAATAAAATTCAAAAGTCTGAGTTCTCTGCTGAGTTTGTAATGTTGACGACAGTGACGACGTAAGAGATGCTCGCACCGACGACAACAAGGATGAGTGGAGACCGAAGAAGTCTGGTCAGGTGGAACTCATGGACTTCCCGTGGATCATTTGGCCTTCGTTGCTGCTGACCTTACGTAACTGGTTCTTCACGCACTTCATCATCAAGCCGTACTACGACCCCGAGTTCTCCATGCCCGCCTTCAGGGAGGGGGCCAAACAGGTGCTGGATTGTATCCTCATGCTCATTTATCCTATGTATCCTTATGCTCATTTTATCTGCTAATATTTGATAAGCAATCGTTCGTCAAATCCAGGGAAATGTTTTCATAGTTTCGCCCGAATATTTTTGGGGCTAAAATATTTAGGATGTTGTTTGGGGAGGTCTATTGTACCTGAAATGTGAAGGAGAAAAATATATTTGTGATAGCGGAGTTGCATAGTTTCATGATATATTCAATGCAGCACGCCATAGTTACTTGCATTTGTCTGTTAACGTATTGAAGGTTCCGATGGTGACCAGTTCCTTAAACACGTTAATTGAAAAACAACAAAGCAAGTTAATAAAAGAAACATGTTAATTAAAAGACATTCATCCAGCCATTCTCTAGGAATGTGTGGTGACGAGTTGAAGTTATGCGTGCAGGCGCTGGTGAGCGTGTCGGAGGACCTGGCCAGAGGAGACCTGAAGAGCCTGACGGGGCGGGTGACGCAGGAGTGCATCTCTCAGCTTAGGGAGAGCTTCCCCAGGCTCTCCCTCAAACAAAAGTCAGACCTCAGAGTGGGGCTGTCGGATATATTCTTCTCCTTCCCCTATCAGCTTGGCGTTATTTTCCAGCCCGAAAGTGCGTTTAGGAAAAACACTACTCGTTTCGTATTAATTTTATTGGTATTGTATTGATGCATGTGCTCTAAATTTAGCCATGAATCACATGAATGTTCACATGATACTCTTAACGAGTTCGCTATTGAAATGACAGACTCAAAAATTCTTTCTTGAAACATGAATTTATCTAGTGTTATAATTTAGAGAAAAATTTTGTGGCGAGGGTTTTCTTACTTCTGCCGCATTTGACATAAGTTCCCTTGAATATCTTTCCCGGACTGAGAAAGCTTCCTTTGAAAAAACGAGTTTTTCGTTGTGGGCAGATGAGGGTAAAATGGACAGAATATTCGTGGAGATAACGATGTGTTATCACATTTACCGCGACTTCCAAGAGTTCATTCAGGACAAGGAAGACATTAGAGACAACTCCTTCATCCATCAGAATGCCGACTTTTACAACGAAGCGGACCGCATTACCATAGCTAATTACAGGTCAGTGCTAGCTATAGTTCAGTGCTAGCTACAGGTCAGTGCTAGCTACAGGTCAGTGCTAGCTACAGGTCAGTGCTAGCTATAGTTCAGTGCTAGCTACAGGTCAGTGCTAGCTACAGGTCAGTGCTAGCTACAGGTCAGTGCTAGCTACAGGTCATTGCTAGCTACAGGTCAGTGCTAGCTACAGGTCAGTGCTAGCTACAGGTCATTGGCAAGTACAGGTCATTGCCAACTACAGGTCATTGCTCTGGCCATGTCTTGAGGATTCTCTACTCAAATTTCCTGAAGCCTAGCAATATTAACTTAACGTTGCCTCGACTGTGGCTCCACCTGCGATGTCCATTGTGCTGACTGCTTCTGAATATATGCTTAATAAAGTTAGGTTGCACCAGATGGGTAACAATTCTCTATGAGACTCACTGGTGCCTTCAATTGCAGGCCGCCTGCAATGTTGTTAATTGGTTATTCATTTTTTTCCATTTGCAAGTCGATAGCTATATCATCAGCAGATTGATGTTGCTTATATTGATTGGACTGAAATAATATTTACTTTGTTCCAGGTTTATTCGTGAGTTCACGAAGGGCACAAACGATGACTGGACAATCAATGTGATCAACCACTTCAAGCCTGGCCAGGCCCTTGAGAACAAGTGACCAGAGCGCCCCTGCTTTGAGTGCGTGTCTGTACGCTGAGTTTGTGTCTGTGCGCTTAGTGCGTGTCTGTATGCTGAGTGCATGTCTGTATGCTGAGTGCATGTCTGTGCGCTTAGTGCGTGTCTGTATGCTGAGTGCATGTCTGTATGCTGAGTGCATGTCTGTATGCTGAGTGCATGTCTGTATGCTGAGTGCATGTCTGTATGCTGAGTGCATGTCTGTATGC